ATATATATGTAAAAAATTAGCTGGGCATGGTGGAGCATGTCTGTAGTCCCAGCTACTCGGGAGGCTGAGGCAGAAGGATTGCTTGAGTCCAGGAGTTAGAGGTTGTTGTGAGCTAGGATGACGCCACGGCACTCACTCTAGCCTGGGCAACAAAGCAAGACTCTGTCTCAGAAAAAAAAAAACGAAAACAGATACTGGGTACAAGGCAAAAATCACTTGCAGTGTAATATCTACATTACAAGCTCCATAGAGCTCAGTCTATGTCTGGTTAAATACTATAACTCCAGCACTTAGCATAGTGCCTAGAAAAGAGTTAAATATCAATTGTTCTGACTTTGTTTTGGTTTCCTCATCTGAACAATCAGTGCACAAGTCATTGAATTTTCATCTTACAAACAGGTTGTGAGATTGAAGGATATATGTATGAATCCAGCAGGGCACATAGCTTAAGTGAAAAAACTTGGTACTCAGGGACACAGACATGTGAAAATCAGCTCTTCTACTTAATATCTGGCAGTCCTTGGACAAGTTATTTAAACATATTAGTTTCCTCACTTACCAAATACAAATAATATGATTTTCTTCCCAGGCTTTATGATACAGGCTGTGGTCCCCAACTTCCAGGCCACAAACCGGGCAGCACAGTAAGAGGGCAAGGGAGCGAAGTCCCACCTACACCCACAGCTGCTCCCAATCACTTGTATCACCTCCCGAGCCCTGCCTCCCATCAGATCAGTGACATCAGACTCTGATAGGAGCATGAATCCCACTGCAAACTAGACATGCACACTCCTCATGAGAATCCAACGCCTGATGATCTGAACGGGAGCTGAGGTAGCAACATCCCTAGCCCCTACCCCTTCCCCGTCCATGGAATAACTATCTTTCATGAAACTGGTCCCTGGTGTCAAAAAGGTTGGGGACCACTGAATAGGTATTATAAAGGAGGCACTGTCTGTGCACAACCTACCAGAGTATGAGGGGCATTATGGTGGAAGAGATGAAAAACTAGAAATAGCAGCAAACGCTGTTAAATGCCAAGAAGTGAAATGGTTTCTCACACTTGTGTGCAAGCACTCACTCACATCCTCTCTCCTCTTTCTTACACACGTAAACACATGCACCAAATCAAACTATTTCCCAAAATTAAATTCAAAATCCAATAGGCAGAGACCTAAGTGGAGAGATGCTAACACCAAGACTACCTCATGGTCTACAAAAAGACAAAACTTATATAATTGCACGAAATACAAAGTGTTTTGTTGATTCAAAAGCCCCTCTGAATAATAAAACCCTTCTGGAAGATTAATACCTGACAATGTGAGGGTGTGTAAAATGTATAATTATATTAATGGAACTAAAAGATTACAGATATTCTGCTTCATTTCTGCAGTTTAGAATTAAATCTCTACTTTTTATTTTAGAAACAGACATTTTAAATAATTGCCTCTTTATCCTCTACATTACTCAGTTTTATCACATTTAAAATAATTTTTTTTGAAAGGTTTTCTTTTATAATTTGGCATCTTGGAAAATTCTGTGACTGCTAGCTGGCAACTGAGTGCAGATGTTATTATTTCTTAAACATCAAAAACAAGATTATTATTGGAAATATCCAAACCAACCAACAAATTGCCCATGGGCCTAAGTTGGTTTCTGTATTATTTAGAGACTTTGGTGAGAGAAATTGAAAAAAAAAAATCATAATTAAATT